CGACTTCTCACTGAAACTTCCGGAATCACCTCTCGAAGCTAGCCACCAATGAGCACCAGTTCACTTGAATTTTGAGGGAGTTGTGGGGATCCCTGGCAGGGTTGTGGGTGCGCACTGTTGAGTAGTCCCATGCGAGGACGAAACAGCTGTCCAGTGCTCCCAGGTTTCCTTTGTTTCTCCAGCTGATGTCAGTCTATGATGGATAACAACTTGAAATATTTCCAAATCCCCAAAACTTTCTCAAAATTCAATCGTTTATTAGTTTCCAAAAGCTTGCTACATATCCTTGTCCGCAGTTAGAACCCCAAATCTCATTCCAGTACAACACAATGGATGAATTACACTCAGCATCGAGGAATAAGTTGGGATTCTTAGTGGATTCATTAAAGTCAAATTTACAAAGAATCAAGGCTGATGTTTCCAAAATACTCTGGGTGTATACTGTTGTGGTCTCTTCAAGATTGAATTGGATCGTTGTTCACTATTTTTCTAGCTTTATTAGTGATGAGTGATTATGATTTTTGAGGTTAATGGAGATTTTATGTTTAAAGCATTCATAAAGGACCAAAATCCGCTGGAGAACCATAAAAAACCTAGGAGAACTATATAGCTGTTTCGTCCGAGTGTACGACTCGTCAGCAGTGCGCATCTATGATCCCACCAGAGATCAAAACCCAGGAACTTCAGGTTTCACGACGAATGCATTAACCACTCAGTCAATGGGTTAAAGTTCCATAATCCACAGTTTCTTACTTCTGATCATGATTTTTGTTGATAGTAAGTATTTTCCAGGCTTCTTGAAGTCATTAACTCAAAATTAGCGGCCAACTTATAGATATAGTTTGTGACTCACTGTTCCTTAAAGATATACATAATTCCTAATTCGTTATATACGAATAGACTTCAAGGAAAAAAAATCTGATTTCGGCGATATCTTCATCTGTCTGAAGCTGTAAAACCCCATCTAAATACAGTTATTGTGCATAAAACAAGTACTTCTTAGTCGTTAGTAGTCATGAAAATAATATAGCATTAGGAAATACTTAGGAAATATAAAGCGCTGAGGTATCCGACCTGTTGCCAAGTGAGCCTGATGTGGCAATAAATGAAGAGATGAATCAAAATTGTGAAAGAAGAACAAATATTTCAGTGAAGAGTCTCTTTTCGGCGATTTCATTTCCAAAGCTATACAGTCGCAAATTTGTACATCTTTCCAGTGTAAGGATATGACACGTGATACTTGTGAGTTTATGGATCGCATAGGAGACGAAGGCGTATCTTGATGCTGAGTTACTTTTCACATACTGAAACTATCTTCTTCTTATGCAGATACACAGAAGATAACGGCATGAATGTTGGGATACTTTCCCCCCGCCTTTAGGAATTGTTATTGAGATGCATATTTAACTACGTGATTTATAGACATAAAAAAGGAATCGTCATGGGATCCCAATTAGGTCCACTACTAGCGGACTGCATGAAGGTCTTTAACTGTACAAGAGGTACATGGACGGTAATTTTATTTTTAAGTTAGTATTCATCGTAGACTGACACCAGTTGGAGGACAATTGGAAACCTGGGAGCACTCGACAGCCTTCTCATCACAGATAATAAAAGTGTCTTGATGGGATTGTGGAGATTTAGAAATGTTTCCAAGTTAGTATTCATTGTAGACTGGCATCGGTTAGAGGAACAGTGGAAACCTGGGATCACTGGACAGTTGTTTCGTCTTTGCATGGGACTCATCAGCAGTGCGCACCCACGACCCCACCCCACCAGGGGTCGAACCCATGACCTTCAGATTCCGTGGTCAGAACGTTACGACTGAGCCACTGGGTCAGAACTTAATGGTCCATATTTCCAACTTTTGTCAGTTCACGATATAGTGCGATCACCACCTAATGTCATCGTTGAATAACTGTCCTCATAACCATCAGGCTAGCCGCACTAGTTTCGACTTCTCAATGGAACTTCTGGAGTCACATCTCGAAGCTAGTCACGAATGAACATCTGTTCAGTTGTATTTCGAGGGGGTTGTGGAAATATGGACCATTGAATTCTGACTTAGTGGCTCAATGGTAACGTGCTGGCCACGAAACTTGAAGGTTACGGGCTCGATCCCTGGCGGGGTGGGTTCATGGGGGCGCACTGCTGAGGAGTCCCATGCAAGGACGAAGCAACAGTCCAGTGATCCCAGGTTTCCACTGTTCCTCCAACTGATGCCAGTCTACAATGAATACTAACTTGGAAACATTTCTAAATTCCCACAATCCCATCAAGACACTTTTATTATCTGTGATTATCAATATAATTGGAATCGTGTTCTACAAATATCCGATGACTTCCATTCAGCAATCAGATTCATGCTTGTGGTCAGAAACCGATCAAAAATTCACTTTCTTGATGTAGAGGTGATAAGAACACCTGGTGGAACGTTAAGCAGATCAGTTCACAGAAAACCAATATGGACTTGTCAACTGACATACTTGATAGCTAGGTACCAGTTAGTCCTAAGCGTTACTTGATCATAACTCTTACCACTCGCACTAGACAAATCTTCAGTTCAGATATGTTAGAAGTGGAAATTTCTATTCTATAGAACATCCTGATTGAAAACGGATTCTCATCACTCATCACGCTTCATAGACCAAAACGTCAAGCTTAAACCTCTCAAACAGAACCTTACCACCGTACCAAATAAGACACTTTGTATGAATGTAAACTTCAAAGGCGACTCTGCAACTGAGACTCTAGAAAGGAGGATATCAAAGGCTGTAAAGAGAGCATTCTTCGCATCAACGCTCAGACTATTATTATCTTGTCACCCAGTGGTTTCTAACAACTTCTATGTGCACCTGCTCTTGTGGAGCCAGGTATATAGGTTGTTCGATATGAATGTTATCGAGAAGTGTTCAAGAGCACTATCGCTCGGGGTTACAAAGAGGTAACGATGAAGCAATAATGAGTGTTATAACTGAACACATCGTGAACACGAATCACCCTATCTAAAGAACCTCTTCGTTCATTTATAAAGTGAGAAGAAATCTTCCAAAGACAGTATGTCTTCGTATTCTCTGCATCACCGAAGCTCTTTCCATCCATGTGTATAAACCTGAACTGTATACGCAGAAGAAGATTGTTCAACCCCTTCTCCTCTCACGGTCTTAGTTTTCAGTCCTCAAAATCTCCTCTACCCCGTCACTCTTTCTTTTCGTTTTTCTGTTTCGACACTATTCACTTCTTATGTAATTTACTACTCATTCTTGTTGTTGTGCTCTACTTGATAACAATTCAGTTTCCAGTTACGTCTTTATGTTAGGAAACTTCTTATCCAGACTTGTTTTGATCAGTGTTCACTACTCATCACAGGATTTTCGATTTTGTGATTTTAATGACAGCTCATGTATTGACACTATTTGTGTTGCCATTCTTGATAAACCGTTTTTGATCATCAAATCCTAACACTGGAAAAGTGCATAAATTAGTGATTGTACAGCTTTGGGAACGAAATCTCGGAAAAGAGACTCTTCGCTGAAATACCCGCTATTCTTTCACATCCTGATGGGTATATTCCACACATTGAATCCAAATTATGCTCAAAACTATATAGTTCACACACTGTTTGAACGGAGTAATGGATATTATCATCAGTCATGCTAGAGTCAGCTTATGTGGCGGCAAAATACCGAATACAGTTTCTCAACAAGGTGATCAAGTGTGAGTTGAAATAATAAAAAAATTTAAATAACTGGTAAAAAAGTGAGCAAAGGAATGAGGAATTTGCACATGATTTGAGCGAAAATCGCTTGCGTAACAATAGTATGAAAAGTAAAAGATTACTTAGGCTCAAGAAGTGTAAAGTTTAAGAACTTAGTAGTAAATAAGGAGAGGGATTGGCAAAGATGCTTCCAGATACACTATTCCAGTTTCCATTTTCGTATTGCTAAAGCTTCAACAATTCAAAGTAAATGTTTCCTTATACCCTTAGGAAGAATATATTGTACTTAGCAACCTACTGCAAACGTATCTCCCGGAATTGTTTGTCCACTGTCAACCAAATGTTTTAATATACACTGTTCTCATTCATTCGAATGATTTTCATTGTAAAATTAAAGTGTGTGTTAAACTAGACTATCTGGTTAGTCGACAGACTCTTGTTTCACCTATATTCAGCATTGATAAATGGATTCAACAGAAAACCGAAGTTGCGATCACATTGCAACATTACTGGGCTCGTAATCTACCGACTTAGATATGAGAAGTAACTAATATGCAAATCGGACACTGCAATTATCGAGTGTTGTGACAATATTTCATGAGAATTAATGTTGTGTGACTGTTTATTCTACATCACATCAGTTTTTCAGCCAATTTTTATTGCTTCAGTTGCGATTTATTCTGATTTTAGAAGAGGAACGACTAGTTTATTGTTAAGTAAACAATCTGAGATAACTGTAATTAGTAAAACACTTAGACAGTGGAGACATACCAAAAATCTGTTAGTAATTAACCTTCAAATAGAATCTTGGCTTGTTTGAAATTTTCTGTCAGCTTTAGTCGTTCTCTTCAATTGATTCACATTCTGCAAGCGAATGATACCATCTAAAAAGGCGAACCAATAAAACCACTGTTCCCATGACTACTTTACTAGTTCTTCACTGTTGAGATCAAAATAAGGCTTTCCTACGTTCATTCTTCAGTGACTCTAAAAGCCACTCTAGCAATGACTGAAACAGCCAATCAAAGCTCTCAATTTGACCTAGAAACTTAGCTTTTCATGAAACCTGACTGGTTGTTTCAATAGTTATTAAGATGACCTTTGAAGTCACTCTTATTATTACTATTTGTCTCTTGAGTTCCTAGTGGAACATAGGGCTTCAGTAGCACGTCTCCAGTGCACTCTGTTTTCTGCAAACTTTTGAACCTGGCGCCACGACAGCTCAGGAGCTCTCTCTTAGTTGTATTTTTTTTAATTCGTTTGATTTTTCTGTAAATTTTAGAAAAAGAAAAGTGTCAAGTGAATAAATGCGATATGACTTTCGATCCTCCGCGTCCTTTAATTGCTGAATTGAAAATAATCTACGGTTCTAAGGCGAATAAAGCTATTGAATTACTTGAAAAACATGGTGGATGCAATGAACTGCAATATTATGGTAAGAAATAATCACATATGAGAATCTCTGTAAATAGACTTATCAAGAAAAGTCTTAAAAATTTATTGATACGAGTTATTTTCCGTTAATTAGTTTACCGAAGCAAAATGATCAGTCTGTTGGACACCTGGATATCGCCTCAACTTTCATTCACATGTTACTTTACTTAATTGGTGACGACTAGCAGAGGAAAATGGTCACTCTTTGTGAGACCAGCTAATTCAGCTGACGGGACTTAAATAGGATTTCATCACTCACCACCACTAAGTGGCATCAAGATGAAACTTGAAACAATATCAAAACAACTATTCAGTGATGCAGTGTTCCAACAGAAACCGACCATTTCGGTTTAATATAATAATGTCGAAGGAGTTAAAGACATTAGTAGATAACAAGTGGTTGCCGTAGCACAGGAGGTGACTATCAGGATGACATTCAGGCGTTTGGAGCGATAAGTGCTGGCTTGGAGTCCCAATGAGATGCAAGTACATCAAGATAATGGGTTTCAAGCCCCACTGCCAGGTAGAACATTCAATAGCTTAAAGATTATCATTAGATATTGAAAATATGTGCCTTAAATAACTTCCCCCTCACTTTTGAAGTATTACATAAGGAATATTATAGCTGATGGAGTACATATATTGAATGTATAGAATCGAATCCAATTGGATGCAAAATTAAAACAAAGATCAGATTACCGTTGACTGCAACTGAAATATATACCTAATGGACAATTAGTTTTGATACAAGATTATGTGATCGAAAACTGATACATTTACACACTCTGGATTGAAAAATGGTCAGTAGTCTGTCTCAACGATGACTATATATGTGTTAATGCGTAAATTGCACAAATAAAATAGATAAAACAATTTAATTTATGGGATTGTAGGGATTTAGTGGTTTCTCAAGTTGGTATTCATCATAGACTGACATCAGTTGGAGGGAAATCAGAAACCTGGGAGCACTGGTAAGCTGCTTCGTCCTAGTGTGGGGCTTCTCAGCAGTGCGCACCCATGACCCCGCCTCCCAGGGATAGAACCCAGGACCTTCAGGTTCCGTGGCCAGCATGTTACTATTGAGCCATTGGGCCGGAATCCGGTGGTCCATATTTTAAACTCCTATCAGTCCACCACATAGTGCTACCACCAATCGGTATCATCATCGAGTATTTGTCCTCATGGTCATCAGCTTCGAGAGGTGATTCCTGAAGTTCCAATGAGAAGTCGTGACCGGTTGGGCAAACCTGGTGAGTACAAATACTCAACGATGATATTGGGTGATGGTTGCGCTATGTCGTACACTGACAGAAGTTGGAAATGTGGACCACTGAATTCCGACTCAGTGTCTCAAGGGTAACGTGCTGGCCATGGAACCTGAAGGTGGTGGGTTCGATCCCTGGTGGGGTGGGGTCATGAGTGCGCACTGTTGAGGAGTCCCATACTAGGACGAAACAGCTGTCGAGTTCTCCCAGGTTTCCAATTTTCCTCCCAGTGACGTCAGTTCATGATGAATACCAACTTGAAATATGAATGGATCAGTCTGCTAGGAAACTAGTTGCAGCTGAAGTTATTTGCACATCGACGGAAGTGTTCAATGTGCTACGTCTGTCGGTGGTGAAGCTTCCAATAACATGATGGACATTATCTTCATTATGGCTTCTCTATCAAACAAAAATTGGCCGCCTGTTGTTTGGTAGACTCCCTCTAGATGATACGACTGAAATGAATTGACAAATAATTAAAAATAAGCAATCTAATAAGATGTAATCAATCAAAAGCCATTGGCTGTTGAAGAACAACCAATCAAATCTGAACAGTACTGATGAAACAATTTGGTATTCATCACGAAGAACCATTGGAAACTGAGAAACAGCTGTTTTGTTTCAGCCAGAGACTTCGCTAGGGACTAAAACCATAACCTTCAGGTTCGACGGCCAGCAGGTTATCATTGAGCCAGTGGGTTGAAATTTAACAGTTCGCATCTTATTACTTCTTCCAATTCACGATATAGCACAACCTTCACCCACTGCAACTGTTGAGGCCCATCCTTGATGAAGATTCCCATATGCTCTTAGTTGAATGTAAAGTTGAAGCCATAACGTGCTCGTCGTGCAACCCGAAGGTCATGTATTCAATCGCTAATGGGGCAGGATCATGATTGCGCACTACTGAGAAGTCCTACACTAGGAAGAAATACCTGCCCAGTGCTTTTCCTAGTCATATAGGTCCATGATGAATACCAAGTGGAAATCAGTAAATAAATCATTATAAACCTCCAAAATTAATTATACAACAGGTGTGGGAACAAACGTAGGGGGAAATGGGAGAAATACGAGCGAACTGTCAGCCATTTACTGGTTTCATTATCATAGGTAGACAGTAAGTTATCTTGGCAACAAAACATTCGTGCGTAAGCTTATTCTAAACGACTGTACTATTGAAAACACTCTTGTTTTTGCGGAAGAATAAATTGAAACAAATTCCAGGTAACCTTTTACTTATCCCATACAATCATAGAAGTGTTAAGCATTTGATTTTATAAAGTCTATAACTTCTATGGGGAAAAAAACGTTGAGAATTTTAAATCGGTTGATTGACAGGGTTTACTAGTCTTTTTCTAAAGTGACCGAGTGGATAATAATGAATACGAGAATAATAACTCCACGAAACACTTAGAGTGGATATGAATGAATAACGATTCTTCTCCCTCAGAACTTTTCACTTCACTTAGCCGTGAAAATCACAAGACAAAAACCGGCCCATAACTATAAAGAAGATACTTTATTCTACAAAAATACATCATTTACTCACAGTTCTCATGAATATGTGAAATCACTAGGTCAAAAGTTGGAAGTTTTTTTGATTGGTCAACTGTAGTACAAAGTTGTCCAATAAGGTTTTTCTTGACTACACAGTAAGGTTGAAAATCAAAATTTCTATCTTAGTAGTTGATGACTTAAAATGATGATTTCTGTTTTGACCACTTCGTATCACTTTGGTATAGAAAGAGAAAACTATAAATTAGGTTTTTTTCAGTATCCACTTGAAACAATCAGTAGAAAAGTACACAGGAAAAATGATAAAACTACTAATGTTTATAACTTAATGGGAAATAACTGAATATATTGATTGATTATAATCACCTATTTCAGAGGAAGTTGAAAAAAAGAAAATGGCTTTTATCAATTCTCCATTTTATTTACAAGTACAAACTGCAAAAACAGTGTCTGATTTAAATGAGGCATGGAAGTTAATTGATCATTATTCCTTTCAACCAAATCTTAGACGACATACAGATCAAGCAACATTTCTGCATTTTTTAGTTGAACGGTAAGTTAATTATTACTCATGAATATCAATTTATACAGTAAGAATATTCATTATTCAAGTATATGCAGTCATAGAAGCTGGATAAATCTAGTAGAATGAGAAAAGATATTGTTTAAGCGTATAAAAAACCGTATCAACGTACAATCACCTTTTAGATGCACCAAAATTATGACTTTTCCTGGAAAACTTCAAGCAAACTCTAATTTATTACAAGTCAATGATAAGGTAGTCTTTTATTCTGAGGTACTGATACTAGGATCTTAAAAGGCTGATAGTCAAAATACATTCAAACCTTAATACAAATTGCGGAAATTAGTGTATATAGATACACCCTGATTATGAACAAATTACACTGATGTGATTATGAGCAATAATTAATGCTGGAAACAGGTGTTATATCAGTCGATAAGTGGTAATCGTGAATATCAGATAAGTGTCACTGGTATTATTAATAATTTTTATTTTAAAAGTCATTTCGCCTATAACTGAATTCATAACATTGTTGTATGGCTCCATTCAAGAGATTTGGATTCACTCACCCCTCATTCATTTTTGTTCGACTCATAGTTCGGAAATAACTGCGTGGTGGTAGACCTAGAACGTGCGGATGACATAGTCGTGTCAGATGAAGACTGACAGAATGTATAGACTTCTGGACACTTTGAATGGTAATTTGAGAATGTTTGGGATACGTTTCTTGCCACCCAAGTGCAAATTATTGCTCCAGAACTGGTCTTCGATGGTACTCTGACTAATAATAGAGAGTGAGGTAGTTGAGTGCGTTGAACACTTTACTTACTTGAAAAGCCGGATCAGTGGCGGTGCGTTGGTCAGTGGTAGACGAAATCTCTGCATGAATACAAAAGGCTCGGTTAGCTTTTGTCAACATACGCCATCTGTGGCGCCACCGAAATATCCAGTTGTCTATTGACGGTCGAGTGTACTGTACTGCAGTCCTCTCTGTCCTACTGTATGGCTGTGAAACATGGCCACTGAAGGTGGGAGGCACGAGAAGGCTTCAGGTGTTTGACCACAGTTTACTTCATAGCATAGACCGTGTTTCATGGTGTCACCACGTGAGTAACTCAGAAGTCAGGCGTAGAGTTTTAGGCAGCAGAGATAGGACAGTTGATACGGCTATGAACCTTCATCCAGTGAGGTGGCTGGGACATGTGTTGCGTATGCCTAGTCACCGTCTGCCTCGTCACACAATATTGGCCAAAGTATGTTCTGGCTGGGGAACTTTACCACCAATAAAAATAAAAAATATGAGCTGCGTGACAGGACTATAAAAATTAGATATCGAGTGGAGTGTGATTACAATGATATGATGATTATAAGCAATAGTAATTTATGCTGGAAACATCATCAAGTAAATCATACTGTATCACTGTGTGTTGTAAATCAAATGAACAAATCTAATACGGAATTACATTCTACCACAGTGCCCAAGTTTTATATTTATATTTTTGTGAACAATTCAGGAATAGGTTAAAAGAGGCAGGAGTGAACATACAAGGCAATCGTTTCGTTTGGTAAATATATTTTTCAGCTTAAAAATGTTATGGCATACTCCTTTATGTTCTAAATGACCACAGTTAACAACAATCCAGCGTTTTCCAACTAGTCAGAGGGCGTTCATTTCAACAGTGGCAAATGAAATGTGGGCCTCGAATATTTTCGCGGTTCACTGGGATACATTGTACTAGAGGAACAATCATTCTTCTAGGGTAGATAAAGTATCTCAAATCATCCAGTTAAGTTATTTACATCTACAGGCACCAAATCATTTCAGTCTCAAGTTATTTGATACAACCAATCACATAAATGACAACAACATAGTGCAAGGAACCTTCAAAATCAAGTTGAAAGCATTCAACGAAGTTGGTGATAGACTGCAGTTCAATTTCAACACCCGGAAACTGAAGTATGAAACTACAAAGAACATCTTCACATCAGCCATCAGAAAAAATAGGGAGACGTTGAGCAACATTCATGAAGGAACCTACGTGGAAGAACACTGCAACTCTTTCAAAGAGATGTGGAAAGAAATCTGAATAACTGATATGGGAATGAAGAAGAAGAGGCAAGACAAGGAATGGTTCTCGATTGACACATCGAAGCTGATAGAGCAGCGAGACGAAGATGGTGAAGCAGAAGATGGAACAGTGTAGTGTGAGAATCAGCAATGAAAAGAGGAAGTGAACACAACCTATACAACACTACACTGGACAAAGAAGTGAAGAGGAGTGCACGCAAAGATAAAAGACACTTCTGTGATACACTGGTAAATGAAGTAGAACAAGCTGCAGGTAGGAGAGATAGAGACCTGACAAAATTGTATCAAATAACCAGGTTACTATCTGGGAGTGGAGAGGTCAACGCAGACAAGACCAATGAAAGATAGTGAAGGAAACCTAGTTAACACCAAAGAGGAGAGACAAAAGAAACGATGGGCTGATCACTTCAGAAAGCTCTTGAATCAACCACTTCCACCACTTGCAACTCGTTCAGAAATACCAGCTGCAGCCCAGTCACAGAGCTACCAGTCAACACAGGCCATCCGACAAAAGCAGAAGTCCTGAATGCCATAAAACTACTGAAAGCCAGAAAAACAGCTGGACCAGATGGAATTCCACCAGAGGCACTGAAAACAGGCTCAGAAACAACATTGGACATGCTCACACCACTACTGCAGATGGTTTGGAAGAAAGAAAGAAAAGGTACCTGCCGGTTGATCAGAAGAAGGGCCACCTTGTCAAACACTCAAATAAGGGAGACGTAGTCTTTGCAAGTACTAGCGAGTAATCATGCTCCACCGCCGTCCACCCAAAGCAAGCAAAATATTATGCCGCATCAACCTGGAGAGACTAAACAATGCGCTGGATTCAAAACTATGACCGGAACAGGCTGGCTGGCTGGCATTAGGAAGAACAACTCATGATTGGATCAGATTGCAAGGCTACGCTATGCATCATCATAGAACAGAGTATAGAATGGCAGTAAACTGCATCTCTACGTCAACTTCATCAACTTTGAAAAGGCTATCGATCGAGGCGTCGACCGAGAAGTAATTTGGCCACTGCTCCAACACTATGGAATACCACAAACCTTTATCAATCTCACTCAACAACTATATGAAGACGCCATACGCCAAGTGATTCACAATGGTAAGCTTAGTGATGCCTTTAAAGTGAGAACAGAAGTAAAACAAGGCTGCCTGCTATCACCAATGATCTTCCTGATTGTGGTCGACTGGATCGTGCAGCACACCGTGATGAGCGAGAAGATGCGCATACGCTGGACAGGGAAAAATACTAGAAGATTTGGATTTCGCTGATGACCTGTGTCTGATGTCGTGTGGCACAAGCTTGAAGATCTACAGACGAAAACTAGCAAGTTGACAGGAGATACAAAGCAGGGCAGCGAACACCGGTCTTCAAGTGAACGTAGAGAAGACTGAGGTGATGATGGTACCCAACCAACAATAACGTGAGCAACAAGCACCAATCACCATCAACGGGAGAAACTTAAAGGAAGTAGTCCTTTTCACCTAGCTAGGCTAGCCAGAATCTTTTCAACTACAGGCGGCACAGACACAAACGAAGATGTCAAAACCACGATCGGAAGAGCAAGACAGGCCTTCATTAATCTGAAATCAGTGCGGAGATCTACTGCACTTAGCACAAAGAACAAGCTCCAGAATTTCAACACCATTGTCAAGTCAGTTCTGTCATATGGTTCAGAAACTTGGCGCGTCACGAAAAGCACTTCCGACAAACTACAGACATTCATCAACAGCTGCCGCCTACGCTTACTCAATACTGACACTGAAGATCAGATGGCCAGAAAGAATAGGCAACAAGGAACTCTGGGAACGAATCAACCAAGAACATATCACTCAACAAACATTCAGAAGAAAGTGGAGTTGGATTGGGCAAACACTGAGAAGGCCGACTGGGGACACCACGCGCCAGGCCAGGCCCTAGAGTGGAATCCAAAGAAGAAAAGACGAGTTGGGCGTTCGGGGTGAGGGTGACATGGAGGAGATTGTGTGAGGAATAAATGGAAGCTTGTGGGTATTGGTGGAGCGAGGTTGAAGAGACTGGAGAGAAGAGAGTGCAATGGCGATGTGCTACTTAATTCTTTTGTTCCACTAGGAACCCAAAGGAGAAATAATAACATATAGTGTAATAATGTTATTCATCTGACTGGTTTTTGTTAAACCGAGGAACTTATACCCGGCTTTTATGATAAACTAATACCACAAACTAATACAGCGTACACCGAGAAGTAATTGGGAAACTGCTTCATTACTACGGAGTACCGCAAACCTTTATCAGCCTCATTCAACAACTACATGAAGATGCCACATACCAAGTATTTCACAATGCAAAGCTCAGCTCAGTGATGCTTTTGAAGTGAAGACAGGAGTAAAACAAGGTTGCCTACTATCCCCCATGATATTCCTGATTGTGGTCAACTAGACTGGATCATGCAGCAAATAGTGGGGAGCTATGAGAAGAGGGAGATACGCTGGACTGCGGAAAAGAACATCGAAGATTTGGATTTCGCCGATGACTTGTGCCTGATGTCACATAAACTTGAAGATCTACAAGCGAAAACTAACAAGTTGACAGAATAGGTGAGGCAGGGCAGCGAAGACGGGACTTCAAGTGAATATAGAAAAGACAGAGGTGATGAAGATGCCTAACCACCACCAACAACAAACTCCAGTCACCATGAACGGGAGAAACTTAAAGAAAGTAACCTCCTTCACCCATCTAGGATGCACTGTTTCAACTACAGGCGGGACAGACAAGGATGTCGAAGTCAGAATCGGAAAAGCAAGACACGTTCCTTAGCCTCAAACCAGTGTTGAGATCTGCACTCAGCATGTGGAACAAGATACGGATTTTCAACACCAACGTCAAGTCAGTGCTTCTGTGTGATGGTTGAGAGACTTGGCGCGTTACGAAAGGGATTTCCAATAAACTACAGACATTCATCAACAACTGCCTACATTGGCTCGATACTGAAGATAAGATGGATTACCAGAAAGAATAAGCAACAAGCAACTCTGGCTGGCTGCCAACCAACCAACCAAGAACCTATCACGCAACAAATATGCAGGAGGAAGTGGAGATGGATTGGGAATGCACTGAGAAAGCCGACTGGGGACATCACGCATCAGGCCAGGCACTCCAGTGGAATCCCCATGGGATGCGACGAGTTGGAGCTCCGAGGGTGACATGGAGGAGGTCGTGTGAGGAGGAAATGAGAGCTTCTGGGATATCTTGGGACCAGGTTCTAAAGATCTCAGAGAACAGAGTTCACTGGAGACGTGCTACTGAAGCTCTATGTTCCACTAGGAACCCAAGGGACTAATAATAATAATAATAGTAATAATAATACCAAACTAAAAACTCTTGTCGAACAGAGAATACTGGATGGCTGTTATATACTAGTCAGTAACTTTTCAACAGTGTATATGCTCTCAACCAAGTACATAATCGAAATCATAAATTTTAGTTTCCATGGAGATGATCCATAATAAACCAGTCACTGACATGGTACCCAAAAGTAAATAATCCTCAGCATTAACTAATCTCAGGATAATTACTAAAGGGACTAACCATTGAAGGGTATGATAGTACTCTTTGAGTAGCAGTTAAGTCGGAGGTGAGGGAGTATACTCTAAACCCCATTAGATAAAGCGTACATAACTGCAAATGAAGAAAAATATTGTATTGTAATTATCCAAAGGATCATTTCACCTACTTCCAAATCGAAGCGTTTGCCATAGCAAGTTAATTGAACTAGTCTGTTTGCTATGTGTCAGTGAAATGACATAATCTGCCGTCGATCACCCTAATAATACCAAAATGGTTCGTTTTTTATTTCCAAAAAACAACACTCAAATGAATGTTAGTTGGTAGGAGGTAGTCGGAAGGGAATCAGCTCTCCTCAATTCAGGTTTAATGGTTTTTAAGCATTCATCTTCAAGGAGTATATGTAACCTTGAAAGAATTCTGAACTGAGAATAAGCTTATGCTTTTTATCGTTTCATATATCACAGTGCTAATTCACGTTTGTCTGAAGTGGATAGTATCGAGAATTAATTGATTTTTTTGTAATTATCATAATTTCGTTTCATTTAAGACGTTCTAATTTATTCAACTAATTCATGTTCTATTATATTTGTCTAGTTATAAGAGTTTAAGGCATCAACAACATTTGCAACGAGGTTTAATTCGACTTATGGCTAAACTAGCCATTTCTGGTGTCGATCTACAAGCACGTGATAGTTACGGGAACACTGCCTTACTTTGTGCTGCAAAAGAAAATCATTTCATTGAAGTAGTGACTGGTGAAGTAACAAGGCATTCTGTCCATCAAATTCATGAAGACAGAAGAGATGAAAGAGGAGAAAAAAGAGAAGGAGTAGATGATGAAGAAACTGAAGAACCACTAAATTATGAAGAGGAATTAAACCAACCAAAAAAAGTATATGAATCTGTTATTGACATAAATGAAGAAAAGGCTGTTCCAGATACTGAAAGTACAATCAATATTGAGGATATGGATCATGTAGTTGAAAATGTTGAGTCTTATATAGACAGTGAAACTGAGAGATCTGCTAATTTCAGACCTTCTACAGGTGTTTCAAAATCAGAACAAGTCAAGTATTTAACCAATTCACATATGAAAATTCCACATTTCAGTGATCAACGTTTAATTTCAGTTTTAATCCAGTTAGGTAATTAACATATGTTGAATTTGAGGGTTTGTGGGGGAGTTATTGATTGATTTTAAGTTAGTTTTTATAATGATTTAACATCACTTGAAGAAAGATTGGAAACTTGGGAGTACTGGATAGCAGTTTCGTCCTAGCATGAGACTATTCAGCAGTGAGCACCCATGACCCAACCCACCAGGGATCAAACTTAGGATATTCAGATTCTGTAGCCATCAGAACAAATACTGAATGATGACATTGGTTGATAGATGCACTATGTCATGAATTAATAGAATTTGAAAATATGGACCACTGGATTCTGTCCCAATGGTGACGTGCTGACCACGGAACCTGAAGGTTTTGAGTTCGATCCCTGGAGGTTTGGACCATAGATGCGAAACAGCTGTCCAATTCTCCCAGGTTTCCAATTTTCCTTTAACTAATGTCATTTGCTAGTAAATATCAACTTGAAAAATTACTTTATACACTGGTTGTTGTGGTTTTTATTTTCCGCATATTTCCGAGTATACTTAAGCAAGAACTTTATCTTTTACGATATCAAAACTACATGGATAGGAAACACTATGATTCTGGAACATTGATATCTTCATTTGAGTAGAATGAGTTTGGAGAAATTGATAGAATGATGAGGGACGTCAATCTTCCGGAAGAGGAATATAAAGACGGAATGTGCTTGTTCTTCTTTTTTGAGATTCAGCACAATGGATTCATGCTCTCGCCATCTTAGAAGTGGCTTGTAAAGAGTCAATAGTTTTGTACTTTCTTCCAAAGGCTTCGTACTTCGATTCCTTGGTGTGATCTTTCTTATTTGAAACATGTTTAATGTCTAATGCTTTTTACTTCATGCTTACAATATCCTTACGAAGTAGTTAGATATACGGTGGTAGATGTTAGTAAATGATGAAGTAAAAACATAATTTAACGGACATAATGATACGGTATGTAAAATATTCTTTTCAGAATGGTAAAGGCGATCCCATGTTATCATGATATATAGAAATCCATCAATAAATGATGTAGGTATTTTAGAAACCTATAAACCGATTATTCTAGAGAACCAAATTCATGTGTGAAATATAAAGCGATATGAGACGATCATACTGGATGCCTACAGTAAATTTCCAAGTTGGAATCATTAATCAGACCTTCATCGATTCACTTGATGTCAATTAGTGTAGTCTGAATCAATTGTTTACTACTTAGCATTTATCCTTTGGGTTTCTAAAGGAACAAAAGAATTCAGTAGCACATCGCCATTTCACTCTCCACTCTCCAGTCTCTTCAAACTCGCTACACCAATGCCCACAAGCTTCCATTTATTCTTCACACAATCTCCTCCATGTCAAACTCACCTCCGACGACCAACTCTTCGTCTCCCATTTGGCTTCCACTCAATGACCTGACCTGGTACATGATGCTCCCAAGCACTATTCTCACTGTATGTCCAATCAAATCCATCTCCACTCTCATCTTCTGCATATTTCTTTGGCAACAGTTTCTTGGTTAATTGGTTCCTTCCTTGTTGCTCATTCTTATTATTGTGGCCACCCATCTGATCTGCATCTCCAGTGTCAGTGTTGAGTGAGCGTAGACGACAGCTGTTCATGTATGTCTGTAGTTTGTTTGACATGTTTTTGGTGATGCACCAAGTCTGTCAATCATCATATAGAAGCACTGACTAACTTGACTGAATGAGTGTTGAAAATGTGTATGTTGTTCCCGTTTTATGTTGATTGGAGTGGAGTGGAGTAGATCTCCACACTGATATCAGATAAATGCAGGAGGGTTTGTGTTGATGTCTCTTCGATGCTGGCTTTGAGATCCTCATCTGTGCTGCCGTCACTGCCCGTAGTTGAGACGATGCTGTTTAGGAGGTATATGAATAACATATGTATCGAAACTTTACTCAATGGGAGTTGTACAAATAACATTTTCGAAACGTTGATCTCTCCTCTCCCAGATAGTAACCTGGTTGTTTGATACAATTTTGTCAGGTCTCTATCTCTCCTACCTGCAGCCTGTTCTACTTCACTTACCAGTGTGTCACAGAAGTGTCTTTTATCTTTGCGTGCACTCCTCTTCACTTCTTTGTCCAGTGTAGTGTTGTATAGGTTGTGTTCACTTCCTCTTTTCATTACTCATTCTCGCACTACACTGTTCCATCTTCTGCTTCACCATCTTCGTCTCGCTGCTCTATCAGCTTCGATGTGTCAATCGAGATCCATTCCTTGTCTTGCCTCTTCTTCTTCATTCCCATATCAGTTATTCAGGTTTCTTTCCACATCTCTTTCAAAGACCTCCAGTGTTCCTCCTAGCTGGGTTTTCATAATCAGTAAATAAAATCCAATTCATTCACTATCCACACGAATTAGAAGAATTTGTACGGATGATGCAGTAAATGAGGAGTTGGAAATACTTTGAAGAGTGTTAACGGATAAAGCTTATCCTTCAGTTTTAATTGAGAAAAACGTGAGGTCTAAGAATTTAAAAAAGAAACTCATACGGTCCCACAGAGGACACTGTTTATGAACTTTGGATTCAAGAAAGATATATTGGAAACGATACTGAAGAGTCGTTTTTACAAAACACTGAAGAAGACCTTATGTCCGCTTAGCTTAAGATTGTTTTATCCAGTCAACAAATGATTTGAGGGTGTGTAAAGGATAACTGCCATTTTGCACTACCCCTATATATGTTTACCAATTCATCCGCTCTTGTGCAGGTGGTTACATAGACCGCACAAAGCGTGTTCTACCCAAACATTTCTTCGAGCACTATCTTGCATGGCTGTTTAAAGGATATTGTAAAGCCGTCAGCAGTCCGACTCTTGAGCATTTTGCTTTATCTGGACACCATACTCCACAAGTGTCTTCTTTCAAAGTCACTTATAAAGTAGAGGCAAACATTTCGAAGCGAATGGGTATTCACCACCTCAACATATCAGAAGCTGTGACAATGCAGGGTTACAAGCCTGCTCTTTGTGTTCAGAAAATGCATATTCAGCCACTTATTTTGCCTTGGTCGTAATCTCCTTAAGATACTTTATTCATTTCTTTGTTTATTTATTACAGTCCTGTGAGCGATTTTCGATGACCTTGATTCGACCTTTTAGCCATTATTACCTTGTGACCTTATCCACCGTTTTTGATGACTTTATATTCATCCACTTACCATTGATGTATATGCATAGATATATTGTTGTAACTGTGATTTCGATGTATAGCTTTTGCAAGTGATTCATCGAACAGAAAATTTTCTTGAATGAATTGCATTTTATTAAGTTTCCAGGGCAGTCAGATTGTATAATGTTAAGGAAACCGTTTTGCAAGTGATCAGGATTTACGACCAACCTACCCAGCTCCACAGAAGCAAATGAATTTGTAAATAAACCTTGATGAACACAGTTGTGTCAACTTGTCATTCATGCACTGACAAGTCAGCAGTTGACATTAGAACACCATAAGTAAGTTTGCAGCAAACGATATTCTGTTTAGGGACTTTGACAAATGTTGATGAAGGATGTCTACAGCAATATCACCTTCGAATCTGAGGTTAATTAGAACTATTTTCTCCGAACCTACCTGAATCTCTTCTATGGTCTTCTTTTTTTTCTTGTTTTTGTTCATGAATCTCAAAAGGTAGCCATTCTCTAACAGTATTTCTCGAAGTGTTTCTAGTTCTTGAACAAGGTTATCAGCACTGCATATCGTTCTTTTTCTAGATTAGAGTGAGTACACGAGATTCCTCTTTCTACTTAAGGAGGACCAACTTTGAAGGTTGGTCAGTTGCCCGTTCCAAGTGGATCTGAGTGGAATTATCAGACCTCCTTTGAAGTTTGATGTTGAGAAAATGAAACGTTGATTTTAACTCAGCTTCAAGTGTAAATTTGACTAAAGAGTGTCTAACAATGAAATTTTGAAGGAGGCGCGTCAGGTCCAGTTTATCATTACAAACAATGAGGGTATCTTACATGTATCCTCCGTATGTATGAAGTTGACCGACTGCTGACAGCAGTGCACTATCCTCAAAGTTAATCATGAAGTGGTTGGCAAACAGATATCTAGCAGGCGATTCCATAGCTACACTATGAATGCACCTGTAAATTTTGTTATTATATATGAAGTCAACGTTGAACAAACATCTAAGTTCTTTCAAGTCCAAAAACTCTCTTAAGCAGTTATTCTGTACCCGCGTTTATTATTATTTTGACTATCTGAAATAGCTCTGGTTTAGCAGACTAGTATTTATACTGGCTGGTGATTGAAGGTGAAAAGGAAATTTAGACTGCTGCGGGATTCGAACCAGCGACCACTGGGTTTCTAGCCTGGTCAGCTGTGAGGCCTACTCATCTTCAGTCATCATCCAGTATAAATACCTGTATTTATGTCTTGTAGTTTATTTGTTTATTAACTTTTTCTCTACATATATCTGTCGATTAAGTTTGACCTTTGACCGGAAACTAGTCTGGAAGATTATATCACTTTTTAATGATGTATTAATTAATGTATATACACTTGTGAAAAATGAGTTTTTGGAAGGAATAATAAACGTTTATCAACTTTTCCATGCAATTTATTACTCATAGGCTCAGATAGTTCAATTCCATGTAACGATGGTTACTCAGTGTATCATGAAAATTACATCCCTAAAGGCGCTTATACAATTGACAGAAATATTCAGTCAAGTCTATTGAAGTGCAGTATTAAACGTTCTAAAGGTTTGATAGACCATCCGGGTATATGGCCAATTGTAGACAGATTAATATACAGCATACAATATGATAAATCGAATGATATTATCAACTTTTTTTATACTGAACTAGAGAATACAATCAAAGAGAATTTAACTTGGTTGAGAGCCAAACGCTCAGGATTAACAGTCATTGAATGGATCAAATCATTATGGGTCCATCAAGATTACTGTGACAAGTCGATTAAATTGATATACTGTAAATTGATCGATATGTTACAACACTATATTAGTTTAACTGATTTTGCAATTTATGCCATGGCTGGTGATATTCAACAGTTGAAACAATGTCTAGGTAAGTATATAAAATCTACTAATATATCTAGTTTATTATTTTCTATTTGAAGTTATGCAGATACGTAAGAAGTATTTATGATTTCTGTTTTCAATGAAGATGATGTTGAAAATCAATATCATCCATATCTGCACCGTGCTAAGTGTGGATACCCGGTCAAGATGACCACTGTTACACTAGAGCTCCAGTCCTGCGAAATTCCACACGCTGACTTCCAAGTGGATAGACTACAGGCGGACGTCACCACGACCAGGTATCTCAAATACATCTTACTCACCTCATAAACAACGAAACGTCAGTAACTTAACAACGTATGGTTAGTGATGTTGACTGGTAATTGTACATGTGGCTAATACACACTGCAGATTATTGACTCAAAAGTGATTTTGATATTAAAAATAGCGTTGGCGTTCGGGGTGGTAAATGCTTAGTCAACTGAACAATCTTGAACAGCTGTTTGTATAGAACTTTCTAATGGTACTTCAAACTTTGTGTTTATTCAACAGTCATTTTCAAAATTAGTTCTAATAAGAGAGTCTTTTAGCCGTCTGTCTGTTATCTCAAGTTATTTTCGAGAGTTGATACATGTATTTATTACTCGGTTTCTTTATTTGAAAGGACTAAAGCAAGTTTTAGATAAACACCTGAATTTGAATGAACATGAAGTTCCGTCGCCGAAACATAACAGTCTTGTAGTCGATTAAGCAATCAGTGCTTAAGTTGAATATTAAACTATACCAGAAAGTGGGATGATGAAATGCTTGCATGCTATCCAGTTAATCCACACTGAAATCGAAGACAATGTGACGAGCATTTGTCAGACTTTAATCATGAGCTTCATATAAAAATCAGTCTGTTAACTTAAACTATCCGATCTAGTTTAATCAACAATATGTAAAGTCATTCAGTTCTTTGATCTGTTGCCTATTTTTAAGATTATTTTTATTATTATCTGTCCTTTGGGTTCCTAGTAGGACATACGGCTGCAGTTGCACATCACTATTTCACTCTCCTCTCTCCGGTCTGTTCAACCTCGCTACACCAGTGCCCACAAGCTTCCATTTATTCCTCACACAATCTCCTCCATGTCAAACTCACCTCCGATGACCAACTCTTCGTCTCCCATTTGGCTTCCACTCGATGACCTGACCTGATGCATGATGCTCCCAAGCACTCTTCTCACTATATGTTCAATGAAATCCACTCCCACTCTCATCTTCTGCATATTTCTTTGGCAACAGTTTCTTGGTTAATTGGTTCCTTCCTTGATGCTCATTCTTATTATTGTGGCCACCCATCTGATCTGCATCTCCAGTGTCAGTGTTGAGTGAGCGTAGACGACAGCTGTTCATGTATGTCTGTAGTTTGTTTGACATGTTTTTGGTGATGCACCAAGTCTGTCAACCATCATATAGAAGCACTGACTAACTTGACTGGATGGGTGTTGAAAATGTGGATGTTGTTCTCGCTTTGTGTTGAGTGCAGTGCAGTGCAGTGGAGTAGATCTCCACATTGATTGGAGGTTAACGAGGGCCTGTGTTGAGACGATGCTGAGTAGGTGTTAGGTGAAAGAGACAACTTCCTTTAGGTTCCTCCCGAAACGGTAACTGGTGCTTGTTGTTTTTATTGTTGGTTGAGTATCTTGATCACCTGTACGTTCGTCTGAAGGAAGTCCCGTCTTCCTTCGCTGTCTCACATCTTCTGCCAACTTGTTGGTTTTCACGATTCAGTTTACCTAGTAATATCATTATCTGTTTTCCAACTAGTTTGAAATTCGATTTAGAGTTTATTAGCAGCAATGCTGAAATCGCAATCAGCAAATCTCGGTTCAAATCGTAATTAACCAGTCGAAGTCTAGCCTGCTGTATGACTTCGATTACTGTCTAACAGTAAGTGTTGCTGAGAAAAGTACAGGAATGGTGTTGTAGCTAATTCGCAGTATACTTCTGCTTTTGTTATTAGCAGGACTGCTTTTAAATGAGCACAGTCAAAACCGACAACAACGGTTGATCGTGTTTCAATATTCCCTGGCATGCAGATGTAGGAGGTGCATTTGATTTTTTCAGATAACTGTCAGCTAGCGGTGAATGAACTTCAGTTTACTAGTATCTCTTGTGAAACTTAAGCCTTTCATTAGTAACATGGGATATCACTAGGAATCTGATTTATAATAGGTATGAATTTCAGTTTCAACGAGGATAAAACTGTATGACTAGCTTGCCGGTAGAGTGGAGTTTACATGCGTGGTGTAATTAACAACTACAACCAAACAGTTTCGAGATGGGAACTTGTGAGACTGAGACAGATCAGATAATAACTGGAACACCATAAACGATGTTCTTTTCAATCGGTCATATGAATATTTTGAAAATCGTACCCTTTGTGATGGAATAAGTTGTTGTCCTTACCTATTAGTCTTAACAGGTTTAGTTAGCAGCCGTTAAAACCAACGCGCTGGCCGCAGAACCTGAAGGTCGCGGGTTCGATCCCTGACGGGTCGTGGGTGCGCACTGCTGAGGAGTCCCACACTAGAACGAAACAGCTGTCCAGTGCTCCCAGATTTACTTTGTTCCTCCAGCTGATGTCAGTCCACGATGAATAACAACTTGAAAACCAAAATAAGACGGTTATTTTGGAGATGACTACTGAAATATCTAAATATTTCAGAAATTCCAGATAGTTTCATCGCCAGGTGGTGTAGCTGTTTTTCTTCTCAAAATTTCCTTTATTAAACCTACAGAATCAAGACAACTAACCTATAGAATTTGATGCAAAATGCAGCATTATTATTAGAAAGTTACTTTAGAATAAGTAAATACATAAATATGAACATATCCTGTCCTACAATGGAGTGGATGGTATGGAAAAACCTGGGCATCGGGTTCATATGATTCATCGTATATGGTATATTTTACTTGTGTAATCCTAGCGTAACATATTTGAACAAATAACAAGCTCAGCAAATATTTTGCATTATTCCTCAACGTTTTTATCTTGATCGGAAGATATTTTTCAACAGTATGAATCTGTTTGGGAAGTCTTGAAACAAAACAATAATGCAGAAAAGTTTCTATATGGATGGAAAGAAGTTTTGAGGTAACAATGTATTTTGAGGTTAGTAAGGATGTTAACTTTGAAGAAGTATTCATCACAGATGAACACCATCTGGAGAACCATTGAAAAACTGAGACGAAACCACTGTTTAGTGCTCCTAGGTTGAAACAAGACACAAAGAAATCAGATCATAAAGACTGAAGAAGTACTCTACTACTTCCTTATCAGGAATACACGTATCCTAAACAGTTATAACATCTTTAAAGTGATGAACAATCTACACTCGTACCCGTTCAAATCAAAAGGCCTGATTCCTCAATTGGAACAACAGAACTGTGAATACGATGCCACATACATTAAAGAGATATCATGTCAAGTAATAACACGCCTAACCAAATACGGTCAAGGTTGCAAGCAACTACCAAAAACTTTCTATAAAACTGGAAAATCTTGAAAAAGGTGCAGCCATCGCGGCTCATGAGTTATATTCAAGTCATAAAATGTTATTCGAAAAGGAAAGAATCTTGCAAAAGGGTTTCCTTCCTCACAAAGAGTGGGTCATTTCAGAAGCTTTGCATATCTGTTAGTGTCCTTCTGCGGTCAACAGAAAAGAAGGGTCAGACGTCCCAGTGACACAGCGTTATTCACTAGGCCAGTGACGTATGATAGCCACTTGTACAACGAGTATTAGTTACTTCCACTTGTTGGATCGAATTGTTCGGTCGGATAAAACAACGGAGAATTACAAGCAAATCAATAAATAGTAATAACTAACACCCATTGTACGAGAGGTGGCTATCATGCCTCTGTGGCATAGTTGATAAAGCCTTGACGTTTGAAGCGATGGGTACGAGGTCCGAATCCCAGTAGGAACAACATCAATCCGCAGTGGAATGTAGGTACATCCAGATGACGAGTCCCAAACAGGATGAAATGCGCCTCATGGATTCCTCTGCTAGCCACAACCAAGCAAATTACCACAACCAACATTGAGGCAATGTCGATTCATCCGCATAAAAGCCCATATTGTGGTGGAGGTTGAGCAATTCAATAAAACAATGGAAAATTACAATTATATCAATAAATAGCAATAGTATAAACCTGTTTGGAGTGTACGGAGTTTGGCTTTGAAGTTGAACATGTTTGTCAGAATGACATACATGTTATTCTTCATGAATTTCTTTCTGTCATACATATCATTTTGGATCATCAGGTAGTGAAGACGATGACACCATCATATCTCAAGTGTTAACTAGAAGGAGGCGGTCTCTTACAAGAGTCAGTCACTGAATCATGTGCGGTGTTAATTCCTTGATCTCAGTGATTGCGTAGGTTTTTTAGGGGCATCTGTTGTACAATGAACTTAGTTTTCCCTTTAACATTACCCTGACTTTGATTCAGTCAACTCTACTAACACTGGATGCCATGACTCTTTTATATCAAGATATTGATTATAGTCTTGATAAAAATGTCAAGTATGTCAGGTGTGACTTTTTAGACTATACTTCGGCATTTGATTCTCTCCTAAGATCTCTTTTGCTGGACAAGCTACACATGACTAATACCGAGTCCTGGATAATCAGCTGGCTGCATTCCCATTTCTCTTACAAAAAACAACATACTGTTCATTGCTTACTGTGACTGCAGTTCCTCAAGTAGCTATCCTTTTCCCATGTCTTTTCTCTTTCTTTCTGCATGACCTACCATCTTCAGCTGGTATCAATTTTATCAAATATCCTGATCACCTAACAGTTTCCATGTCTGTCTCCTCTTCAATAGATTGCTCCCAAATGAATGATTTCCTATCTACTGTTAGACGATGGTTCTCCGAGAATGGTCTTATGCTTAATTCTTGGAAATATCAGACTATAATCTTTCGTTTTAGACATGAACATAACTTGTGTAAACTGCTTAGTTCTCATGATTCCTTTTCTATTGATAGTAGTGCACTAGAGAATGTTACAAGTGTGATTTATCTCGGTGTATGTTTTTCTTCGGACCTTTCCTAGTCTTCTTATATCTCACTAATTTTCAAGCAAATTTTTCGCCTAATTTTTTACATTAGGAAGCTGAGAGTATCTCGTATAACTTAGCCTCTCCTCTTGTGTTTTGTAAACTCCTGCATCTTGTCTGTTCTCCTTAATTTTTAACCGGGTTGTTGAAAAAAGACTGCCGCCGCTGTATTGAGTAGAACTTTGAAGATTGTCAGCAGAACTAGTGGTGTAACTCTAAACCTTCCAGTTAAAACTCTTGTGGACAGACGTCTTAACTCATGTGAAAATCTGTCAGGAGTTATTTTATCAGATGACCTACATCCTCTTCACTGGGAGCTCTCTGCGTGTCGGTCATCTGAAAAGACGAGGGGTAAGTACATAAGACTCTATGCATATACTACAAAATATAAAAACCTTACGATACCGTATTAAGCTCGTCTGCTGTGTGATGAAGTCAATTTCTGTTTTTGAAAGCAAACTAACTGAAGATGTGCGTGTTACTTTTTACGTATTATGAATCTAACTAGTAATGTGAATGTCTACCTATCTATACGTTTTCAAGTAAGCTATAGATAGAGTGAATATTCTTATCTTTACATGTAATTTGTACTTAATTCATTTTGCTATACATATGCACTATCTCTGTTCAATTGGTGCTATATGACATGCTGAAAATTCTGTATTCTCGAAATGGCTTTCAGAATAAAGCGATTATCATTATTAAGTTGTCTTCGATCATCCAGTTTAGTGAGTTAATTATCTTCTTTATAAGTGACTTTGTTATCCTATAGATACTCATTACTGAAAAGTAGTCTCAGTGATGTACACTTTCGTACAAATATGTGTGTTAATGTTTTTATAATAAAGCCACTGAAAAGGAATATTCTCCTGATGAATTTAATTGGTTCGTTTGTGAATCACGTAACATATTTCATCAGATTTTACGATCTCAGTATGAACAATAGACTAGCAGTTGTTCAGTGAAATACAACAGTCCTGAGTTCCATTTAGCATGAAAAACGAGGTTGGCCTGCATTGAAAAGTCTTCAATTAAAACAGGAAATCAAAAATCTAATACTTCTTAATATCGGTTATTCGACGCGGATCCTGTTCAAAAGGATTCAAGAGCACTATCTCTATGTGGCTAATAAATAGGTAACAGAGGATCTATTAGAATTACGGTAATGCAAAATCTTGTCGAAACTGGTCATCCAGTCTCAATAATCACCTTTATCAAAAGTATTTACAAAATGGAAAGAAACTTGACAAAGTCACCACATATCCACTTCTTTTGTATATAACTGAAGCTTTAGCAATTCATATATAAAAGCCGGAGTTTTGCTTATAAATGAGACTTGTTCAACCCTTGACCAGTTCATGGTCTTAATCTTTAACATTGCAAACAGATCCCTCCTTCTAACTCTTTCATTCTATACATTTTTTGCAAATTGTCAAATATTCCTTGTTTCTATGCTCATCTTGATAACAATTTATTCATTAAATATTTTGTCATGTTATTTCAACTCGCCATTCAAACTTAGCCGTCTTCATCCTATTACTGGACTCCACAGCAGTGTGCACCCATGATCACACCCCACCAGGGATCGAGCTCAGGGCCTTCGGGCTCCGTGGCTCTGGTGGTCCATTTTTCTTACTTCTGTCAGCTCACGATATAGCGTGACCTTCATCCAATGCCATTGCTGAGCAACTGCGCTGACCACGGAACCCAAAGGTGCTGGGTTTGACCCCTGGAGGGTGGGGTCATGGGTGCGCACCTGGGAGGAGCCCCATACTAGGACGAAACATCTGTCTAGTTCTCCCAGGTTTCCAATATTATTCCGACTGAATTGCAACCTAAAATCAATTAATAAATCTTCATAAACCTCCAAATAGAATTAATCGTCTTCACTTAATTTCTGTGATATTCACTAATCCAAACAACCTTATATTATTAGGTCGTGACAATTTAACTTGGCTTGCCTGTTGACTACTTTTCAACAATCATGAATATTCTGATTATTTCAGGGGGAAAATGACATTCTGATTTCTTCTATATGTATCAACTTGCTTGTTGTCATGTCTAACTAACTGCTTTCATGCATGAGAGAAAAATTGAATATTCTTAAGGTAGTATTCATTATGGACAGATGTCAGTTGGAGAACCATTGAAAACTTGGGGGCATTGAACAGCTGTTTCATTCTGTTGCGGGACTTCTCAGCAGTACTCATCTATGACCTCACCCTCCAGAGATCGAACCCAGGACTTCTAGATATCAAAGGGGAACCCCTTAATCACCCAACAGTCTACAATTCCCCACTTTTGCCAGCTTGTGATATAGCACTACTACCATCCAAGGTCTTCAGTTGGCACCCGCTTCATTTCCAACCGGATGACCCTAAAGATCGTGGCTTTTCGTTAGAACTTTGGGATATCCGTGTCAAAGCATGTCACCAATGAGCATGTTCGCCCATGATGAATACTGCCACTAGCAATATGCTTCGAGATGGATGGCTCAAAGTTCCAGAAATTACGATAACTGATGTCGAGTGTTTTGGGACTCATCGGCAAGGCTTATCTCCAACCCCAACAGAACTAATATCCCGTCTGAGATTCAAACCTGTGTCACTCAGTGATGCAGTCGTAGAAGTTACCACTGAGGTATTCTGACCAAATAATATGTTTGAGTGCATCGTGATGGTGAACCTCTTAGCCTAGTGACCATAATGCAAACTGATCGATAAACTTCGATCAGCAGTTGGGATTAGAACACAAGAAGTTGGTTATCCTTCGGTGGCCAATCACTGTAGACAATCCAGTTCTACAGGAGGTCAATCACCAACGAATAGTTGATTGGTAACTTCACTGACTGACTGGTTTCGAATCTCAGTCGGGACATAAGTCACGTTGAGGTTGCTGGTACGCCTTAATGATACGGGCTAACGAGCACGAAATTTATGTATATGCATTAGTTCAAGAAAGAATTGACGTCGGTTATCATGATTATTGAATAGCAGAAATTAATTTTATGTATTTGTTTAACTGAATGGATTGGTTCAGTAGGATGAGTTCTTAGTATTTGTTGACGTGCTTGTAATTATCCGTTGTTTTACTGGATCGAATGCTTCGACCTAGATTCCTCTACTAGCCACAACCAAGTTAATTACCGTAATTAACATTCAGGCAAAATGGAGGCATCCACACACAAGTCCAAATGTCAATAGAGGTGGAACAATTCGATCCAACAAAACAACAGAAAATCACAAGCATATCAGTAAATAGTGATAACTAATACTGCTTACACAGAGGTGGCTATTGTGCCTCAGTCGCGTTTGGAGCGATGTATACTAGATTTGAGTCTGAGTGGGAACAACATCACTCCTCACTGGAGTGCAGGCACATCTAGCTGACAAGTCCCGAATAGGATGAACTGAGCCTAGTGGATTCCTCTGCTAGCCACAACCAAGCAAATTACCATAATTAAAATTCGGGATGAGTTCCGTTTGTTTTGTGTTATGTTTTAGTAGCCTTTTACTACACAAAATATCTTTGATAAGATTATGCGTGCTCAGTTATAGAATTTATCTCTTTTCAATATAATATAGTGTTTATCTTCTGCTGTTTTCTTCCCTACGTTTGATTTTATAGCTATGGGAAAAGGTCAACTGAAAGCTCAACTTCATATACAAAAATTTCTGACAGGAATAAAGAAAAATGATGTCAGAGCAAATTTTATATCACGTCCATTGTTAATAAGTGTTATGGAATATTCTACAGCTGAAGTACTGAAGCTTATGATCCAGTCAGGAGCAAATTTAAGCGAATATTATTCAGGTCAGTTACTTTTTCAACTTGTAGTGAAACCAGAAACAATTAAGCCTCTGTTATCAGTAATCACTAACGCGGAGTAAAAAGACGACAAAAATATCTATTTAAACAGAAAGTTAATCAACCAGTGAATAAGAGAGTTACTTGAATGCAGTGTAATTAGATATAATTTATTACAGAGTTAGTCTTCACAACACAATTTGAAGGATTGAAGGATATGATAATGTTAAGACTTGATGAGTACTGCCGTAGAATAAATTGTTAATACATTGGGAAATAGAAGATGGGTTTATAGTGTAAAAGTTTTCTAAAACTAATCTATTCATTTCTGTCTTTATTAAAAGTAGGAACAAGAAGAATACACTGTTGAAACGAGTCAGCGTATATATTTCCATGCAAGTGACAATCAAGTTATGAAAGCTGAATTCATATGAAATTTGATAGTACAGATAAACAATCTGTTGTTTTACATATGCGAATAAAAATGTAGAAAATGATATAAAGAAATAATTTTTAATTTAATTTATACGGTCTCCACAAACTGCGTCTTTGAAGTTTGATTAAACATGCCCACAGTGACTGAGTTGAACTTGTAGGGGTGTGTGTTATTATTCTGTAACGTTTGACCAACCCCACTTAACTTGATGTGCTCTAGCACTTGCATAACCAGTACCTTACCTAACGTGTAAGTACTCATAACGAAACACAAATCAAATGAACTGGCTTCAGGAATATATTCGAAGAAGTAATATATTTATTTAGAATAAATGTAATTGTAATGAATAGAGGAAACGTTTATTCAACTTATCTGGCTAGTATGGCTGAACTAGAGACTCTGAGTACGTGAAAGCTAATCGGCACAAAGGGAGCGTGAAATGGCACTGAAGCCTGCTCGGATGCATGATCATTAAAACAAAACTTAAAACACCTAAAGCAACAACGTCACTCATTGAGGTGTAGGTACTTCCAGCTGATGAGTCCCTAATAGGATGAGATGGGCCTCCTGGATTCCTCTGGTAGCCACAACTAAGTGATTTACCGTAATTAACACTCAGGCAATACCGAGTCACCCGCATAGGAGCCCGTATGCCAGTGGAGGTTGAACAATTCGATCCAGTAACACGACGGAGAATCACAAGCATATCAATAAATAATAATATCTATTTATCTGTCTTATATCCCAATTCCCACAATGGTTTGGTCTAGCTGTGGCGAATTGTATAATGATTTTCTTGCTTTTAACAGGTTCGTTGTAAAATTTCTCAAGAAATACCTCCTTGCATATTGTATAAAGTCATTGAATCATTTAGTGACGAAGATACACCGGTTCCCTTTGAGATTGTAGATACTCCTTACTGATATCTCCTAAAAACGAGACTTAATCACAGAGCTTCCTGTCGAACGCTTATTACCACCAGACACCGACCAAATGCACCATAATCCTCAGTTACTTAGCTTAGTGACCAAACTGCAAAAATGATCGGTAGAAATCTATCAGTACTTAGGACTATACAGCATGAAATCGGTTACTCTTCAGAGATTATTCATTGAATATGCGCTATGATCCAGTTTATAAAGTAGATCACTGGAAAACACCAGTCACCAATCGAACCACTGGCTGATGATAAAGCTGTTAATTTGTAAATAATCCTGAGGAATCGATGTTTACTGATGAAGCATCGAAAACTAGAAAAAATGTAAGAAGACTGTTTTACCACAATGATTTGCTTCGCAATAGATTTATCAAAGTTATGATAAGCAGTTATGGTTCATGATATCAGCCAATTCCAGACTAAGAATGTAAATCCAACGGTGAGTTTGGGTGATGACTGAATATAGGGTTATATGACGAATTGCTTGAAATTGGAAGTGCATAACCTTTGGATTTTAACCCAATATCGGAATGTTTAGGTGGTCACAGCGTAATTTGGTGAAGTGGACGACGTACACACACTAGGCGATTCAGATATTAGAAGATTAATTGTTTTGCATCCTATGCTTTTCATCTGTTTTTCGTTGAAAGTTATTTCTTTATGAAAATGACATAACTTTGATGAGTAACAAGTGTAAAACTCCAACATTAAACAGAATAGTATTGAGAACCTAGAAGCAATGGCCAGCTGTTTTCGTCTTTCTAGGTCGGGATTTCATAGCAGTAGGCGCTGACAAACCTATGAGGCATCAAACTGGAGATCTTCAGGTCACACGCTGAATCCAACGGTTCATATCTTAAGACTTTTGTTGATTTGTGATAGACTGCTACCACTGTCTTATGTCATCTATGAGTGCTTTTTCCTCACACCTAACTTGAAAGACCAAACAAGTTATGACTTTACTAAAACTTCAACAGATGTCGCTGCTTGATGGAAACCTCCCTGTAATCATTCAGTTTCTTACAAACCTTCAAATTAAATGCACAATTCATAGTTTGTTACTTAATGTGAAGAAATTCCGTGCTATTTCGAAAAAGATGAAGGTTAAGTAATCAAAGAAACAGTAGAACTCATTGAAGGAGAAGTCTAAGCAAATGTAGTGATCAGGTTGGAAAGGCAATATCCTGACATTCTTTTTGTACCCACAATCAGGTTTCATTTCATTTGACTATTTAAGAATCCTTCAGTTTATGTGGGATAAAAATGAAAACAGTTCTGTAACTTTTGAAGAGTATGTTCAGGAAAGTTACCATCTGTAAGGCTTAAGTCGGTTTTCATCAGCAGTAACATCTTGATAAACTCATAATTCCATGGATTAGTTTGTGGATAGTCAACTAATTTCACTTTAGTTTTCATCAGAGTACAAGTGACTGGATTGGTTCTAGTCGAATTGCTACACTTCTAGTACCTTCAAGAAACCGGACTGCTTATTATAGGTCATCTGTACTGCTCATCGGTTTGATGGAACTTAGTTTATAACTGTGAAGGATGGACATGAAAGGTGCATATGACATGAAAAAGCATGCTGCATTCAGCCACCGCCGCTTCCATCGCTATGTCTGTGGTAGGACGATCAAGAAAGCATTCTATGTGCTGTATATAGGGTACCTAATTAATCTTATGAGGATGCAGACCTTAATAAGCTAATAAAGTTAGTGAGAATATTTCTTATGTCCACCTAGCCACCATTTGTCCCATCACTTTAGTTTATCTGAGATTTGAAAAGATGAGAAGAAAGCCAAGATAAGCTAAATCAAGAAGCAATAATAACTCATGAAGATTGATGGCGTTGTATTCTCTGAGCTGGATAGTTTAGTCAAGAAGCTTTCATTGCCCTTCTAGAAAACATCATCAGCACAAACTTCAGAAGGAAGTAAGAAATCTTTAACTTTAAGAAAGTTTAGGCTTGTTGGCCTGGGTCTACGAAGTACCCATGAATTATTGTTTCAGATTTCATTCCAATTTCCAGCTCAGTTTTCAGATCTATGAATGTTCCAGAGCAATTTTCTGAATTAGCTGGCTCATAGAGAAAGAAATATCCGAGCAACACATTTACATAAAAAAGAAATCCTGACAGGGCATTCTTTCAACGCACCTTCAAATTGATCACTGTTATCCCAGAACACTACTAACTATCAGGTTTCAAAGAATTCACATTCACCCGGTAGTCGGTTAGTTGATTGTACTCACTTCCCAGTAGGCAAACTTAAACAGGATATTTCTTACTGAATTTTTTACAAACTTGAAAACCTGAGTGCAGTTCACCTTTTCGAAAAGGCACTCCTATGAACCGACAATGCTTGGAGATTCGTAGTGGTAGCTAATTTCGAGGTACTGATAAATAACCAAGGCTAGGGCTGACAATACCAGCATTTCGGACCGAATTTTTCTCATTTTCTCAAAGTAAGCTACACCCAGTCTCTTTGAATTGCTTCAGCCACAATGACTACCGGAATTGAGAATTTGGATCCACCTTACCTTTTGGTTGCACTGCTTCAAGGTACTAGGCATAATCCTGACGACTTAGAACACCATTGGTACTTTCGAGGCCTGTCTCACTGGTCTTGCACATACGAACCTCGTCGCCAACTATTTTCGCTAATTCAACTTGATGGTGCATTGGTTGATATCCAGAGAAGCCACAAGGGTAGTCGCTGTCTTACACAACCAGTTTCAACCCGTAATTTCTGGGAAACATGACATGTCCTATTTTCACAAGCCACTAACAAAAGCCTAATAGCAGTTGGCCGCACAATGTAGAGCTTCTACAAGTTGACGCTATGGAATATAACTGTGGAGCGTATCAACGCTGTCTAGAAAGTCACAGCTACTCCTGCCAATTATTATATTACACTTCCTTATTTTGCTGCTGTACGTATTTTTCGCATCCTTTATCCTCCTACCGGTTTTTTAGGGAACCTTTCAATCTCCTTGGTCTTTATTTTTCCACCTTGTGTCCTGATATATTGATAGGAGGTATAGCTATCTTTAGCGTTATACAGAAATGCATGTTCTCATGTTGATACCAACTGACGGGCTAAGCTTGCACCAAGAAGGCGGCTAGATGATTAAGTGTACGCCATGTGACCTGAAAAATTTGGACCTGACATCTACGTAGTCACGAGTAAGCAGTGTTGAGAATTTCCATCTCAATATCGATGCTAGATAACCTGTATGAAGATGTAATTTCAACCTAATCTTGGTGTTTGTTGAGAATTTAAGGTTATTTACCATGTGTAATTTAATGAAGTATTGTGCTTAGCATAAACCGAAGAGCGAATTCCTTATATAGAGGAAAGGAGATCGGTATATCATTGCGTTTAATGGAGCATTGTAAGCTTAATAATAAATATTTTAAACTTCTAATATTTTTAGAGATGGAACCTTTTGGACCAGTAGCATTCTGGAGTTTCAAAGAATTTGTCAGTCTTCAACATACTTATGAAGTAGTTAAAGAAGCTCCTATACATTTAAGAGATTCAAATGGATCCTCATTGTTTCATTACGCTGCAAACCTTTTCCAAGTGATACATCCACAGGATAATAATGGATTTCAGTGGGCAAGTTTAATTCTAGCTACAGTATTGAAACGAGGAGTTAAAATTTATCAGCGAGATGTTTGGGGGCGAAACGGACGTGATTTGTTGAACAAAAGTGGACAAAAATTAAACAATACAGATACTGAATATTGTGAAACAGCAGAAAAGTTCAGGCCATTTGAAGAGAAAGTATGTATACAATCTTAAAAATTACAATTTTAGGTCGAAGTACTTGTTAGTCTCACAGTGCTATACTTTTTGAAAATTCTCTTTAATCTTACCTAATTGTAAAACCTTAATGACCCTCTACTTTTTGATATCTTGTTTGAAGTGCAATCTTAACATTCACTGCCTTGTTACTGTGGTACATATCACTCAGTAGTTTCCATAATTATTGGCTAAATATATAGAGTATTCAAAATTAAATAAACTTCACTAGGATGTCAAACCAACCTCGCCTGGTTAACTAGTTTACTAGTTACTAGCCGGTCCTAAGCCCGGGTAAAGAGGGAAGGTTGGGCATAGGGCTAGCAACCCTACCCCGTAAAACAAATCTAACCGCTAAAGAAACTTCAAAGCACAAACAAAATATAAAAAATGAAAACAAACTTATTCCCCGCTGGAATCGGAGAGGCGAAATGACGCCAGTTGGTGAAAGCCTTCGGGAAGCCAATTGGCCGATGTGTCTTCTCTCGATGAAAGCGAAAGTAAACGTGGGGACATGGAATGTCCGCACGATGTTTGAACCCAGTAAGGCAGCCCAGATTGCAAGGGAGATGAGAAGGTATAACATCGAAGTGCTTGGGATTTGCGAAAGCAGATGGAATGGGAGTGGACTCTCCAAACTGTCAACTGGAGAATCAATAATCTACTCCGGTCACCCAGACGCCAACCACGAGCACACTGAGGGAGTGGCTATCATGATGTCCTCAAGAGCATCGAAGGCTCTCATGCAGTGGGAACCAATCTCCTCCAGGATCATGACAGCAAGATTCAACTCAAAAGGAAGAAAGGTCACAATCATACAATGTTATGCACCTACAAATAATGCAGAGCAAGAGAAAAAGGAGGATTTCTACAGACAACTTCAATCAACACTGGACAAGACGTCAGTTGGCGATATCAAAATTCTGATGGGCGACATGAATGCCAAACTGGGAGGGGACAACACGGGAAGAGAACTAACCATGGGTCGAGAGGCACTAGGTGAAATGAATGAGAATGGAGAATTGTTTGCAGAATTCTGCGCATTCAACGATTTGGTGATTGGAGGCAGTGTGTTCAGGCACAAAGATATCCACAAAGCGACATGGATTTCACCAGATGGACACACTAAAAATCAAATCGACTTTATCTCAATCTCAAGAAAATGGAGACGCAGTCTACTTAACACAAGGTCAAGAAGAGGAGCAGATGTAGGTTCAGACCACTACCTAGTGCAAGGAACCTTCCAAATCAAGTTAAAAGCCTTCAAGGAAGCTGGTGATAGACCTCAACCCAAGTACAACACTCGGAAACTGAAGGATGAAACTACAAAGGAGATCTTCAAGGCAGCCATCAAGACAAAATGGGAGACATCGAGCAACATCCCTGAAGAAACCTGTGTGGAAGAACACTGGAAGTCTTTGAAAGCTATGTGGAAAGAAACCTGCACAACAGTATTAGGAAGGAAGAAGAAAGAAGACAAGGAATGGATCTCGACGGATACCTGGAAGCTGATAGAGGAGAGGAGGATGGTGAAGCAGAAGATAAACCAGTGCAAGGATGCTCAACGACAAGAGGAACTGAGCACAATGTATAAAACACTGGACAAAGAAGTGAAGAAGAGTGCACGCAAAGACAAAAGACACTTCTACGAAACACTGGCAAGTGAAGCAGAACAGGCTGCAGGTAAGAGAGACCTGACGACATTGTATCAAATAACCAGGTTGCTATCAGGGAAGAGACCAACACAGATGAAACCAATAAAAGATGAAGAAGGAAATTTAATTACAAAAGAAGAGAAACAGAGGAAACGATGGGCCGACCACTTCAAGAAGCTCTTGAATCGACCACCACCTGCACTTCGTCCAGAAATACCACCTGCAGCCGCTGAATTACAAGTGAACATTAATCCCCCAACGAAAATGGAAGTCCTGAACGCCATAAAGCTACTGAAATGTGGGAAAGCAGCAGGACCAGATGGAATACCGCCAGAAGCACTGAGAACAGATGCAGAGACAACAGCGGACATGCTCACACCACTATTGCAGAAGGTGTGGAAGGAAGAGAAGGTACCTGACGATTGGAAGAAGGGTTACCTTGTCAAACTGCCGAAGAAGGGAGACCTCAGTGCTTGCAAGAACTGGCGCGGAATCACTCTCCTGTCCACCCCAAGTAAAATATTAAGCCGCATCATCCTGGAGAGGCTAAGGGATGCACTGGATTCAAAACTACGACCGGAACAGGCAGGCTTCAGGAAGTACAAATCATGTGCAGACCAAATTGCAACGCTTCGCATCATCATAGAACAGAGCATAGAATGGCAATCAGCTCTCCACCTCAACTTCATCGACTTTGAGAAGGCCTTTGACAGCGTCGACCGAGAAGTAATTTGGAAACTGCTTCATTACTACGGAGTGCCGCAAACCTTTATCCGCCTCATTCAACAACTATATGAAGATGCCACATGCCAAGTAATCCACAATGGGAAGCTCAGTGATGCCTTTGAAGTGAAGACAGGAGTGAAACAAGGTTGCCTACTATCCCCCATGATATTCTTGATTGTGGTGGACTGGATCATGCAGCAAACAGTAGGCAGCGAGAAGAGGGGGATACACTGGACGACGGAAAAGAACCTAGAAGACTTGGATTTCGCCGATGACTTATGCCTAATGTCACATAAACTTGAAGATCTGCAGGCAAAAACTAACAAGTTGATAGAAGAGGCAGCGAAGACGGGACTTCAGGTGAATATAGAGAAGACAGAAGTGATGAAGATACCGCACCACCACCATCAACAACAACAACAACAAACTCCAATCACCGTCAACGGGAGAAACTTAAAGGAAGTAACCTCCTTCACTTATCTAGGAAGCACTGTTTCAACTACAGGCGGGACGGACGAGGACGTCAAAGTCAGAATCGGAAAAGCAAGACAGGCGTTCATTAGCCTGAAACCAGTGTGGAGATCTTCTGCACTCAGCATGCGGAACAAGATACGGATTTTCAACACCAACGTCAAGTCAGTGCTCTTGTATGGCTCAGAGACTTGGCGCGTCACGAAAGGTATTTCCAATAAACTACAGACATTCATCAACAACTGCTTACGCTCGCTGCTGAAGATCAGATGGCCAGAAAAAATAAGCAACAAGGAACTCTGGGAACGAACCAACCAAGAACCTATCACGCAACAAATATGCAGGAAGAAGTGGAGATGGATTGGCCATGCACTGAGAAGGCCGACTGAGGACATCACGCGTCAGGCCCTCGAGTGGAATCCCCATGGGAAGCGACGAGTTGGACGTCCAAGGGTGACATGGAGGAGGTCGTGCGAGCAGGAAATGAGAGCTTCTGGGCTGTCGTGGGACCAGGTTCAAAAGATCTCAGAGAACAGAGGTCACTGGAGGCGTGCTACTGAAGCCCTATGTTCCACTAGGAACCCAAGGGACTAATAATAATAATAAAAGGATGTCAAACCACTGGTCTTCGTTACCATATTTTAATCACAAACAATAGAATTCAGTCATCATAGCGAAATAGACAATATGATAATTTAAGATGAATGAGGATTTTAATTTGGAGGTAGTATTAATCATAGACTGACATCAGTAAGCACCCACTACTCGGCTAGGGATCAAAATCAGGGCTGCTGAGGAGTCCTAGACTAGAATGAAACAGCTGTCCAGTGCTCTCATCTAAATATGGAAGACAGTCGTCACATTGGGAGTCGTATCCCATGCGAAGCAACCATGTAAACTCATGTAGCATTCGATTCTTATATCGCTTTTTCTGCAGATGAAACAGGTTCTCAGAGCAGGTATTTGGGTCAAGGAGATACATATATACTTTAATGGCTAATATCTCCATAGTTTAATTTCGATTTCTTCAGCATCCTCTCAACTTAAGACAAAGTTTCATTATATACAATTCTTTCCCTTGATAAATTTAAATACAGGAGACATAACAGTTTAGCAGAGTAGTATTTTATTTCATTTGTCCTTTGGGTTCCTAAAGGAGCATAGGGATTCAGTAACATGTCTCCATTTCACTCTCTTCTCTCTAGTCTTTTCAACCTGGCTGCACCACTCCCCACAAGCTTTCATTTATTCCCCACACAATCTCCTCCATGCCATTTTCGAACGCCCAGCTCGTTGTTTCCCATTCGGGTTCAGCTTGACGACTTGACCTGGCGTGTGATGTCCCACAAGCACTCTTCTCACTATATGTCCAATGAAATCCACTCTCATCTTCTGCATATTTCTTTGGCAACAGTTTCTTGGTTAATTGGTTCCTTCCTTGTTGCTCATTCTTGTTATTGTGGCCACCCATCTGATCTGCATCTCCAGTGTCAGTGTTGAGTGAGCGTAGACGACAGCTGTTCATGTATGTCTGTAGTTTGTTTGACATGGTTTTGGTGATGCACCAAGTCTGTCAACCATCATATAGAAGCACTGACTAACTTGACTGGATGAGTGTTGAAAATGTGGATGTTGTTCCCGCTTTATGTTGAGTGTAGTGTAGTGTAGTGCAGTACATCTCTACACTGATTTCAGGTTAATGAGGGGATGTGTTGAGACGATGCTGAGTAGGTGTTAGGTGAAAGAGACAACTTCCTTTAGATTTCTCCCGTTGATGGTGATTGTTGCTTGTTGTTGTTGCTGTTGGTTGAGTATCCTCATCACCTGTCTTCTCTACGTTTACTTGAAGATGATGGGTGATGGTGGGCGGCAACCTTGTCTTACTCCTGTCTCCACTTCAAAGTCATCATTGAGCTTTCCATTGTGAAACACTTGGGATGTAGCATCCTCATATAGTATATACGTGTTAAATGAGGTTGATAAATGTTTGTGACACTGAAACCGTAGTGTTGAAGCAGCAGCTGCCCGGCATGCTACTTCTCGGTCGATGCTGTCAAAAGCCTTTTCAAAGTCGATGAAGTTAAGGTAGAGTTGACTGCCATTCTATGCTCTGATCTATGATGATGTATA